AAATCTATACGTCAACTAGGCAAAGCGTTCATCAAAATCCTTGTTGTTCAACGTGTAAAATCGTGTAATGTGTATTAGCATAAATTGATCCTCATTAGCATTTTTTATCCGGTTATGTGAAATCGTTCTAATACATAAAGAAAAACTAAAAAAAACTTACACTCAAAAAATAGCAAAAAGAAAAAACAAACAACTTTGAGCACAATGAATTTCTTTGAAGAAAAAGGGAAAAAGGAAAAAGTTTATGCAATTTGAATGGACGATGATATTGTTAGATACACGTAATTCAAATCTATTTGAATATTTGAGAAGGAATTTCTGATAAAACACTGGAAAATTCAGCTGATCACCATGCTAGACTTTTAGCATAGATGTGGTTGGAACCAACGAGATTTTCTTCATTTTTCGGTGCACTAAGTAATGTTAATGTCATCATGTTGTCATGTTGTTGTCGTTATTTGTGTTTCCAAGTAAACATTTTTTAACATAGAGGTGTTTCGAAATCTTAAAATAGCGTCTTATTTGCCACTTATTTCTTACTTGAAAAGATTKATAATACTCTTTTTTCCTAGTTTCACGGCTTGTTCCCATCGCTGACTCTAAGAAACAATGATACGTCTTTAGCTTCAAATATTATTTATGGTCATTTCGAATGCGGATTCTTACATTAAAATCATCTCGAAACTTGCATAATTTAGTTCATCAAATGTTAGTTTACTACATTTCYTAGAACTGTCAAGTCGACTAGGGCTGWAGTGCTTTGTAGAGCTWWGTAGYGTGTTGTAGGGCTATCGGTTGTTTTGGGACTGCCGAAAAAGCACACCTCGCTATTATTAGCGTAGTTGTCGCAACGAACATATATGTTTGCAGCTCTATGMTACCTTTCGGCATGACTCGGTTGTAATCTTGATGGGCAAAAATGGTGTATTCGCCTCTTCAGTAAAAGGAAACTCTTATAAATCATTTTAAAGTTCAATGTATACTAAATAAATCTTTAAGAAATATAAAACGGCGTGTCTCTGTCCTCTGATATAAACACGGTGGGARTTCGTAAAACACGAGAGAAGCAAGCTTAGGAACACGARCGTAGCGAGTGTTTCTCTTGCTTCTCGAGTGTTTTTCAACTCCCACCGTGTTTATATCAGAGGACAGAGACACAAGCTGCCGTTTTATATTTCTTTTATAAAATTTTTCGAGCGAAAAGAAAATTTTGCAGGTAAGCCGCGTCTYTGTCCTCTGATATAAACACGGTCGTCAGCCAATCAGAGCGCGCGTTATATATCAAAAATTTTATAAAAGAATATAATAAATAAATCTTAAATATATATATTTTTAACTCACTCCACATACAGCCTTTTGCAAAAATTATGAGAATTGTCTAAATATCTAAATATCATAAT